ACCAGGCCTGCACACATGCACAACCGCCGGAACGAACCCCCCCCCCAAGAAAGTTCTACCGCTCGACGGTGGGTGCCTGGGGGCAGAAGGCCGAAGAAGCCCGACGCTTCCCGCCTGAATTATTATTCTCAGCTCAGGTCTCAATGCCCGCGTGCCACTGGTGCATCCGCTCCGCGAAGAAGCGCGGTTCAGCTCCGACTGCGTCGCGCCGAACCCTGCCATCTTCATCCCCATCTTCTCCAGCAGTCTTTTGACTGCCAAGAGTCCTCCCATTGCCATTTTCACCTTGTGCTCGAGTCGCTCGATGGACTCTCATTCCTGGCCCGGCCCTTCTCCGACGAACTCGCCTTCGGCGCAGGCGGAGGCGCGGGCGCTCGCATATTTCTCGATGGTCCAGAAGAGCGGCGAAACTTCTCGCTGCGCTCATCATGCTGAAACAATTGCCGCCTTCTGCCGTGGCCCGCAACTGTCTGATGTCAAGAAAGTGCACATAATATCCTCGGATCTCCCCAGTGCCACTTTTGTCTTCGCAGTCGACGGTCGCGCCCCAGATGGCGTCATCGAGCGGCCCGGCGCCGCGGCCATCGCGGGGAGATCCGCCGCCCGGCGTAACCGCCGGCGCTTGTGGTGTACATCTCTCAATCCTAGGCTCGTCGGCCCAGGGTCGAACTCTGCCCGGCTCGACCCATTTAGTCTCGCGGCCTGGCGCGGCCGTGCCGGCGGGCGCAGACGGGCAGGCGGCAGTGCGATAAGATGTCCTCCAATGTGGCTTTGGCTCTCTCGGAGGTGGCCGAAAACGTCGCCTAGTTCGTTGCGCGGCGACATTGTCAGCAACAGAAATCGAGCCACCCGCTGGCGACTCAGCATGAGCCGTCTCGGCGGGAGAAGCGGCTGCGTCGTGTTCCGCCCTCGCCTCATTAAGGAGTCGATGATTCCGATAGCGCTGTCGGCATTGAAATCTCCGACAAGGCCAGTGGCAAAACAAATTGCGACACTTTGTGGTTGATCCGTCAACGTACTAATGAAGACAATGGTTTCATGAACATTGGCACAATACTCTCGTGCGGTCAAGGGAACCTCAGTTCCAAAGCCTTCGAGCCCGTTATTAAGCAAATCGAATGCTTCGGTTGCTGACCGGACTCAACAATCCAGAGCATAAGCGCCCCCCAAAGATTGATCAGATGTCGGAGAACGCTGGGTTCATGCCCAGGAAGAGCAACATATATTCCCGCATGCACGAATAAGAATATCATCTCGCGTACAGCCAGAAAAACTCTTCCCCATCTTCCGTGGGCGGGGATGCGGTTGAATGGCTGATCCCGAATTTGGTCTATAAGCTCTCCAAATCCTGGAGGCGCGTCGCGTATCACGTCTGAATCCAATTGCCCCGCACTTGGATCAATCGTAAGGTATTCGAGGAGAAACTGTGTTGCAACTTTGACCTCTGATATTTCATGTATTGTTGTCGTGTTTGTAAACGCGCAAACAGTTCGAAATGGAGATTAGATCAAGCCAAACAGGCAGGTCCCAATCTGCAGGAATCATCGCTGTAAAATCGCGTCATCGCCGCGGCTTGGCCGGTGACGAAAATCAACAACAATTTGAAACTCAATATCTCCAAGGGTGGTGACTGCGAATGCTTGGTTCACCGCTCTGCAATCGTCAGTCAAGATTTTCAATGTTGGGGTAACAACTCCCCTCTCGTTAATTTCTTCTTCCCACTGAAACCAGCCCACCACTGGTTGTATAGGACCCGCACTAACATGATCCCAATCGAACACTGCATGCGCAGACCATTTCATAGGGCGAGCATATTGGCCAAGATCGGGTGTCCAGATATATGGCCACCATTGGGCAGCAGTGGGGCGATCAGCCCCCCCGTGCTTGTGTTTCAACCAATCGAGAAATCTAAGCTTCAAGGGTTCAAGATACTGGAAGAAAGGTTCATGTCGCGCCGGCGGCTGTGCCGAAGCGCTGGGGCACCATGCAGGAACAATTCCTGGCATTGAAACAATGTATGTTCCTCCCAGCCGGCGCCGTCTTCTGACGGGCTAGATCGTCTAGAGCCCATTTACGTTGGTGCTGTTCCACCTTGGTCTGATTGTCTGAGGCATCAGCAGAGCTTTCCTTCATTGCTCTTAGCCTATTATTGATGACCTTGGACCGGTTTCCTCCCGCTGGAAGGCCCCCCAGACGCGGCTGGAGGCCAAGTGGCGCCCAGGCAGCAGACAACGCCTGTTCGGCCCGCTTCTGCAGATAATTTGCTTTGACATTCAATTTGTAATTTGCCACGACGTAGCAATGTCAACGATGCCCAAAACCTGCTCTTACAGCATGGCAGTTGGCACGAATGTATCTGCCGCCATCAGTCAACCGTTTCTGCATTACGCGGTCCTTTTCTTCATGAGAGAGAGTGGGTCGCCTGGATTCAATTACGT